TCACAGGCACTAGACTACGCGTTCCCAACTGCGACTGTGTGTATATTACCTACGAGCTCCTTTTCCCTCTGTCTTGCCACGTTCCACTCTCTCCTCTCTCTCTCCGTCTATCTTTACGTTTTCCTGCATCTCTCCTCGCTAACACCGTCTTTCTTTCTTTCCCTTCCTATCTTCTTACCCTTTCCTCTTCTCTCTTTCGCCGCACGTCCATTTCTTTGAATAAACTTCTTCGAGCCACTCCGTTCTTTGTTGATGTCTATCGAAAGAATGTTTGCGTCAATCTTTTCGCATAATCGTTTTGACAGAATCTAATCAACGTTCAATGGGATACTTGGAAGAAATATTTGATTGGAATTTTATTAAATATGTATAAATTTGATTTATGTAATTGATAAGGTCTATTATTCTATATAAGATGTTATTTAGTTATAAGATATTGCACTTCTTAGATAGCTTTTTTTGCATGTTTTAATGATTTTTAGATCGAAATAGATATACGAAGATAAAGTAATATATAAGTTTTTTTTATTTATATCAATCGTATAAAACGCAAAATGAACGTAATTAGTTATTTTTTGTGTAATTGTTCAACCAATATGAAAATATCGGTCAGAGGAGTTTTACCGCATCGGACAGAGAAAAATTAAATGGAACGATATGAAATGCTAATTATATTTACATATTGTCGATTCATTTCCAGACTTATTTTTTTTTTTTTTAGAATTTATTGCATATTCCGTTCTTTTATGTAACTTATGCATGAAAAAGTAAGAAAAATATCTTCTTTATGCGACCACTCGAAAAGCTAGCGATAAACCGACGAGAGCACCGAGAGCACAATGAGCAATAGGAGAAATATTCACTCAACTTGATCTCACGCATAACGTTGACGTTTCTTAAGTGGAACTTGAAATAGGTAACTATGCATGGTCGAGCACGTGTTTAATACGTTCAAGCATTATGTCCGTTCAAAGCAGTAATTATTAAAAGTATATCGAATGATGTAAAGGATATTGTTATCAAGAATAGAAACGAGGAGAATATTTCAATTGATGTAATATATAATTTCTACGAATGATCATAAAAATCGTATTTCACTCCATCAGATTTCTTATCTCTCTCTCTGTCAAATTTTATAGGCCAATAGAAGATAAACAGTGTGAATATTAAAGTGATGCAAGAGTGCTAACAAACAGTTCTCATTCATTCTATTCACACCACCCGAAAGAATTTCATAACGATGTATCCGTTACGAAAGTTCGGTAAGAAATGTCCTCGTATCGCGATTTCGCGATCTTTATTATCCATTCACAATACAACAACATTCGGAAGAACGAAACTGCTGATCTCACTAGCACAAAAAAAAAACAATAATCATTAAATTCTTTCATTTTAATTTCTTAAAAAAAAAAAACGCAAGTATCATTCATTAACTGGAATTAATTTCGTTCCACACACGTCGTAGCTCATTTTTCACCCAGTTTATCGCGTTTTACCCACCTACCTTACCACGTTTCGTGGGTGGAAAGGTAACCGAATGGTATGTAGGCCAAGACGAGGTATAATGGATACCATACCGTTCATCGTCGTTTTAACGTAATTTCCTGTCCTTGCAAACCTGCGAGTCGAGGAAGCCTTGAAAGTCGAGCGTTCACCGATCGCCTAAGTCGCCGCTGCATCGCCTCACGACAACACGCGCAAGTTGATCGCGCAAACGTGCGAAATCGGCGTTTTCCTCGGAAGAAAACGGCGCGTAGAAAAAAAAAAACAATTTCGTAGAACGAAATCTCGGTAGGTGTTCGCACGATGGATTATTGAACTCTGTGCGTCGTTGGACAGTCGTTTCTCGGTCTCGCGCGTGTCCACCTTCGTGCAAACCATCGCGCAAAGAACACGCATTATTGTAGGAAATAATGCAAGCCACCCTGACCATGAGGCGCACGAGTTTGAATGTGGGGTGTGCACGCACCCGTGATGCACGTTAATAGGTGTATATACACACGTACGTTACGTACAGCGTGCCTTACCCTCGTGCTCGCACACTCTCGCGCAAAGCGTGCAAAGCGTGCTCCGAAGAGAAGAGAGGAACGTTCACTAACACTCGGCGAAAGGTTCCCACAATCGGTACACAATTGGACTACGGAATGAGTGGTATACACGGTGAACGGGAAAAAAAAAAAAGAAAAAAAAAAAAAGAAAATGATCTTTCCCCATGGAAGCTTTAATTAAATGGATCGCGCGAGTGGAGGAAACGAGCGGGATTAAAAGTGGAACGAGAATGCGTGAAATATGAAATAAGATGGAATAATAACCGGCGGGTTTCGGTCATTGAGCGTTCACTTTGTTACTTGTCTTGTACAATGTGTACGCTAGGAAATGAGGAAGTCGAAGAAAACTTTTCATCGTCCTTTGAAAAGAATATTCTTTCTTTAAACGTAACACGCCGTAACTTTTTTCGATTTCACGCGCGAACTCTCCGTATTTTTCAAATCCGTCGATAATCGTAGGACATCGCTATCGCGATATCAAGGAAAAAAAAGAAAAAAAAAATCGGGTCATCCCGAAGTTATGCGAGGAATTCGTATCACGAATGGTCGAAAGGACGGTCAACGAGTTCGATACTTTCTTCCGCGTCACCTTGTATGCACAGGTACCAAGCTGCACACGTGTGTACAGTCTGTTACGCACACGCACGTAATGCTTTACGCACACCAAGTAACCGTAAACCTCCAGTCTTTCAGTTCATGTCGAGACCGCGTACAGTGTGGACTCCTGTGGTTTACGAAATCCTGGTAGAAGCGTCGTCGTTCGAGGCATCGGTCGCGCTCGAGTTTTCGCGTTTCCGCCTCGAATCCTCTTCTGCAATTCGTATCGCACCGACCCATCTTCGTATCACCGACATCTTGATAGCATGTTGGCGTACATCCTTGGATTTTTTTATTTCTACGCCGAGCTGCTTCGATTAGAGTTGCAAATGCTCGTACATCCGGAGGATTACAAGCTGTCCAAGTTTATACTGTGAAAACCGTAGGTGAAAACGTAATAAACGGAACGGGGGAAGAGGGACGCGCGATGAGATCCGCGCAATGAAAAAACTTACTCTTATTGATTTTTATCGATGGATCGGGCAACGATTGTCATCGTTCGACGATCGCGAATTATTCGTCCTTGATGCGTTTTCGGCTGACCTGCTCAAGGTGGTATCCCAGTTTTCGATGCAATCGATACTGATTTGCATGAAGCTCGCCAATGCTGGCAAATTTTAATTAACGCTGCCGACAGAAGCGTTAAAATAATCGATCACGCGTCCATCCGATAGTGGATATCATTTCGCAACAACGAATCCGGTAATGAACGTCGATTCTCGTTATGGGAGTGAAATGTAGACAGAGAGAAAGAGAGAGAGAGAGAGAGA